AGGCACTGTGCAAGGCACAGGGGACCCAGTGATGGATGAGACACAGTCACTTCCTTCAGAGAGCTCACAGTCATGCTAGGAGACAGACACATGTGACATGAAAACAGCATACCATAAATAGCAAATGTTCTGTAGTATCGCAAAGAATGTGGGAAGACAGAAGCGAGTAGAGAGAGGAGGGAGGGGGAGAATGACCACAAAGACCATAACTGTTTGCTGCAGGGCTTAGGTAATGGTGAATTTCTCTTAAGAGTCACCCTCTGCTAAAGCAATGGCTTTTCATCTTTGTGCTTTCGGTAGCAAAATCACTTTTCCAAACTTCTGCACAGATCGCCAAGAAATAAAACCAAAGCAGAGGGCATTTACGAAACTGGGAGCAGGGTGAGGATGGGGATGAGGGTGGGGGTCGAGTGCTCTCTGCCTGGCTGCATCCGTGCACCTGCAGTTTCAGAAGCCTGACCTCTGTTCTTCCCGAGGTGGTCATATACTGATTCAGGTTGCTGTTGAGGACCACTCTCCCTTGGAAGGGCCTGGAACCTACGGGCTTGTCATAGGCAAATCTAGAGGTGATCTTGTGATTCCTGCCTTGGGCCCAAACTGGACAGCTAGGCTTTTCTTTTGGGGAAGGGATGCCTAAATAAGATCCAGGTAGGAAGGAATGGATTAGAGTGAGGAATTGGTTTCCTTTTCCTAGCGTGGGATGAGTTGGTGGCTTCCTGGAGTTGTGCAGTGTGTGAGCCTGTAAGGGGAGGTGCTGCCAGTGGACAGTGTCTCTGAAAGGGGTCTGTTTGGGACTTGTCAGTGCAGAGAGCTCTGCTGGGAAGAGCTGTGCTTTCTGGTCAGACCTTGTCTACAGTTCCCCAGGGAACCCAGGGAGCTCTGTGGGGCTCTATGCAGGTGGCTAAACGGATACCTGCCAGGAGAAGGTGAGAAGCCAGAGGCCAGCAGAGGTGAGTTCAACCAGGCTGGCACAGGCGAGTTCTGTAGGTGAGTTGGCTGCTCCAGCTCACCTGCGACCCTGGAGAGCGCTTACGGCGCCCTGGACCCTGAGCACATCATTTTCCGTGTATTGGCTTAGTTGATCCTCATAACAACCCCATGCATTAGGTATTATTTTTACCCTCCTTGAGCTAATGAGGAAATTCAGGCACAGAGGTTCCCTGGGTAATTAGTGGTAGAGCTGGCATTCACATTGAGGCAGTCTGGCTTTCCAGAGAATGCACTTGAGAACTTTCTATACATGTCACAGCAGCTTCATGAGAGAGGGATCCTCCAGTGTCCCACAACTGGGGATTCTTACGTGCGACTTCAGCTCTAAGTGACCAGTTGGAGAACACTGTATGTGTAGTTTAATATTAAATACTTTCTGATGCAGGCATGTAGAAGCTGGTGCCAGGCTGCTTTGCTGACTGAACAGAGAGGCTATAAGACAGGGAGTATTCCTCAGAAAGCAGCTCCTGCCTAGAGGTGACTTCCAGCTGTCTTGACCTGTCACTCTGTGCTGGTCTCCCAGCATGCAGCCCCTGGTTAGGGAGACATGGGGGACTCTGGAATCAGGGCTGCAGACCAACAGGGGAATATGTTGGCCTTATTCCTCCTTCCCCGACTAACTCAGCATGCTCCTACCCATGATGCCCTTGGCCGTGTGCTCTTTACAGAAGGGGGGCTTTTTAGCTGTGTGCCTGACTGGCAAGGGAGTTCTGCGAAGGGGCACCCCACACACAGGCAGCTCCTCAGCACCTGCACCCAGGTCTCGTGGATGACAGGTGTGCCAGTGTTAAGTGCTCCCCAGGCGGCTGTGTGGCCCCAGCAGGTGCCCCCTCCAGGCCCTTGGCTTTGGCTATCTTTTCCTGCTTCTTGGCTCTTTCTCTGCTTCCTCACTTTCACTAGAAGTTTGTTTCTTTCTTTGTGAGAAACTTATGAGTAGGTGGTTTGTGGTGGGAGAAGGCAGAGAATGGAAGAATTCTGGATTATCTGTGGGTTTTCATTAACTGCTCTTTCTGTCCCTCATTACCAGGATGAATGAGATTTGCTTCATAAAGGATCAGGATGCTTGTGCCATTTTGCAAGAAGTTGTTAAGGACTTTTTCTTAGAATCAAACATTAAGCTAGAAAAACAAATCCAACATAAAACCCTGAAGCAAAAAAGGAATCCAACAGAAAATGCCATTCTGTTCAAACTTATGGCCTGCAGGAAAAATTTCAAAAATATTCCATCAAAAGGCTAAGCAGCAGGCCTCCCGTTTAAGTTCTGCAACTGTTATAGGATGTCTGTATTTCACATACCGCTTTGAAACATTACCCTTCTCATCCTGAATGATCAAATGCCTTCTCTCGCTGACTCTCATTCTGTGGTTCTGAATAGGGCAGCTATTGTTCTCCAGCAGGGCATGGTTTCAGTGTCACATCATTCTGGTAAAGTATTGACACAAACCAGCATTATTCTTGGATCTCCCTTTCTCTTTGGTCCCCTTTCTTCTGGGCCTAAAGAGATCACATCCAGAAAAGCAGTTGGGTTTTCTAGGTTGGGGCGGATGCTAGGTACTTCCTAGTGGGCTTTTTGGCCATGAAAGGACTGCTCTGTTCTGCCACCCATGGTGCGTGGGTAGAGACGCGCTGTGGTCACGAGGCAGGGGTTGGATTTCCAGAGGTCTCTTGGCTTAAATGCACTACGAAGAACTTTTGTTTCCAAAGTCAATTTATTGAATATTAAGTCATAAAGCCAGTGATATAATTTTAATGAAAAATATCCTGTATCACTCAAGACTTAAAAGAACAAAAATACCTTAGAAACACTGCTTTGAAAAATAATCACATTAACTTTACACACAACAAAGTCCTTTCTTAAGCTTTATTTAAGAAATCGAGTACTATATAGTTCAATATATATAAGACACATCCAGTATTGTGTTCCTGATAGCAAGTGCATAGATTTTGTTAAGATATCATTTTCACTCAATATAAACGTTTCATGGTCACATGAAGATAATATTCCCAGTGATTTGCCCAAGCATGAGAGGAGAAAACAGAACACAGCAAAAATAGTGAACTACAACAGAGATGAAAAACAAAAACAGCAAATTAGCAGAACAGTCGATTCCTGATAAGTGAATAAGCTGATTGTTTGGTCACAATGTTTTATTCACTTATCAGGAACGATTCACAGTACATTTATGTTCACTGTGTGTCCTAGCCTGCTAGCTAAGAGTCCGAGCCCCTCAGCTGTGGGCTGGGCAGCTTGTGTGGCTTCCATCAGCAGGGCGGGTGTTGACAGTGCTGCAATACAAAGTGGTCTGTGTGTGGCAAACCGATACACCTTGTTCACACTGCAGCAGGGTCATGCTGACTCAAAACTATGGGTCTGAATTCAGCAGGGACCAACTTGATAGTCATAAGTGCTTAAAGGAACTAGCGTTTTCATCCCCTTCTTTGGAGAATTATTTGTTGCTTTAGAAGAGCAACAAAAACTGGCTTTGTCTTTCTCTTCCTTTGCTTAGCATGAGTATTTTGTCTTGTGCCAAAAAGGTGGATCTATGTACTTCTAGATTTAAAAAATAAACACTTACACCTTGGAAATAATTTAGTCACCCCCCATACCTCCCAACATCCCCCTCCCACCTCCCTAATACAAAGAAATCACACCCTTAGCCATCCTTTCCCACTAATGTAGGCAGTGCATTTTCAGAGGCAGACTGCTGAAGGCTATGAGGAGACTGAAAGCCGAAGTGGCAGCAGGAAGTGAGCTCCATCCTTGCAGGCTGGAGCTGGTGGCATCAGCATCACTGAGGCAGCCAGCCCCGGGGAGGGAGCCTCCCTTCCTCCACCTCGCCAGTCCCCTCTATTGTTAAGCAGACTAGAAAATACAATCTTGGGCCAGAGGGGCTGCTGCAACGAGAGGGTAAAGAGCCTGAGCACCTACTGGGAGAGAGTTCACTGGCACCCAGAGGAGGGCTGCCAGGTGCTGGGTGGCCTGAGTCAGACAGAGCTTGTGCGTCTGAAAATAGTGGAAGGAGAGATAAGACAGAGGGAGCAAACATCGACGGAATCTTGTAAGAGCACTTTAAGAGCGATCAGATTCCTGAGCATAGGCAGAACAGGGCCTGTGGCTTCAGTCTGTGAGGGCATAGAAGGAACAGTATTTGATAACTGGCCTTGGGGTGACAGTGGGGATGAGACTTACTCTGAGCTCTTATGTTCATCCAGGAGGGAGTGTGTGGATGCATATGGCGTAATTAGCTTGTGTTTGGAAAAGGACAGTAAACTATGAAGACAGCTTGAATGTGAGAAACTTGACCTCCCCATGCCCGCCGCCCCCCAGACTGAGTAGGGCTTCCGTTTGGGCCCTTGGAAATACTTCTTTTCCGTTAGTGTTAATAATTAAAGCTGCTCCTGGATTCCATTAGCTTGTAGAAATAAATAATTTAAATGACTTTTCTATACATATCTTTTGATTGATGGCAACAAATAGACTTAAGTTTAACCCTTTTCACATCTTCTATTCACGGCTAAGTTTATTTTTCTTGCCTGGAGAACTCACCTCTTTTAGAAAGGTGATTAGTGTCTATGAAGAGTTCGACTGTACTGATGTGGCTTTGGCCTCGTGGGTATAGAGGAAACCCCAGCAGCAGTCTGGAATGTATGTTAAGAACTGCAAGGATAGATTCATGAGGGAGGAGAGAGAAGGTGAAATTAACCTGTGTGGTCAAAAGACCGTAAAACACCTTGGCAAATCCAACCCCGTAGGCAGTTACTGAGGTGAACTGTAGAAAAAAGTGTGTAAATCTTGGAAGCAGGAGTTCGAGTGGGCGGTTGTACATAAATCAAAGGTGGCTGGTGTGCAGTTTCCCCTTTCCCAAATCAGATATTCACTTAAGTGGAATCGACTGTATCTTTTTACACAACATAGAGAAAAAAACAGATACGTGAAACAGTGAGGTGTGTAGATGTATCACCAACACATAATGACTACCAACAATACAACACGCAGAGAGAGAAACAAGTATTAGGAAAATGGTTTAATATTGGAGACAGAAGCAAAAAACTGCATCACACAATAACATACATTACAAAAATAAGTTTGACTGTTTCAACTACACAGTTATGTTCACAATGAGGACAGAAGAATCAGAAAAAACTTTGATCTAAACAGCAAAAAAGCAAACCCTAAAGTTTTAACTAATACATTTATCCACTTAAAGTGACTGAGTACTTCTAAATCTAATTACCTTATTGTGTTAACTGCACAATACAGAATAAAAAGTGAAACTTACCGCTGTTATTTTAAGACAAAATTCTAATGCTAGATATAAGCAAAGGGAAAAAAGAAATCAAGCCAAAGTTTTTAATTCTCAAAAGAAAAGCAACTTTCTTTCTATCAACCCAAAATCAAACTTGAAATCAGTCATTGTCAGGGGCCCACCAGAGTAAGCCACAAAAATTTCCACTTTTTTTTAATCTCCAGTATAAAAAGTTCCACTGGTACAAAATGCTTAAGTACAATCAGTTGTAGAAATAGGAAAGCCTGCGTATTTTTCTTCTTTTTTTTGGCTCAAATTCCATCAAACAACAAAATCCAAATGCATCAATAAAACAAACAATACTCAAATGGTCTTACAGTTTCCACTAGGGTGCATTAACTTTGGCTTTTCTCAGACAATATTTAAAAACTAGTTTGTAATTCTAAACAAAATGATTATTAATCTATAAACATCAATTCTCACAGCACAAAAAAAACACAAATACATTTTTTGTATGACATTATTCAAAAAGGTAATGAAACTACAAGTTTTTTTTAAAATTTTATTTTTTTAATTAGCACTTAAGATAATAAAAACAAACAGTGAAATGATTCCAGAGTAGCACAAGCCAAATAACTCTAACCCCTATGGTGAAAGAAAGATGAACTCATTAAGCCTTTGAGGACTGCCATTGTATCACAATTCTCTAATTTAGATTACAAATAACTATTCTCTACATTTGATTAAAAAAGCAGTTTCCCTGTGTGTTTTCTTCTGGCATAGGCCCTTTGCACCCTTGCAGCTTTGTCCTTTTGATACTAAAAGATCAAGTGGATAGAAGGACAGTTTGTCTCTGAAGAAGAAAGTTATCTTTTAGAGAAGGGCAAAAAAGGACTTTCCCCCTCATGCCCTCTCTTGGTTACTTGTGAAGAAGAAACACTCGACTGGGAGTGCGGGTCCTGAGCCTCCTGTCCCCTGCCCTCAGTGTTTCCTCTGGGGGAGATGCATGCAGGTGGGTTGAGAGGGAAATGGGGAGGGGCATCTGCTTCAGTAAAGAAATCAAAATTGGTTTTCGTTGAGGTTTATTTAATTGATAAGGAGTTTCAGAATGAAATAGTCTTAGAAATTCAAGTGGTGGGCTCTTGTGTTTCCATGTATGTGTTGACACACATCGTCTTCTCAGAGAGACAGATGTGGTAACTGTTGTTACTAAGCTGATTGCTGCAGGAAGTACAAAATAGCCCTCAGAGGATGAAGGAAGGCCCCAGCAGTAGTAAACACGTGTGACGATAATACAAATCATGTCATTGTAAGTGCATGTGCTTTAAGAAGGAAACGTTTGTTATTAATTTTTTTTTGCATCAGTAGAGGCTAGTCCTTTCCATCCCAGGGCTATCACATCCACACACACTGATCCTAACAGGGTGATGAGCAGGGAAGGGGAGCTGAGATCAAGAAGCTTCCGGGGCATGCTAGAGAGGAAGGCTGGAGTTTGTGTTGGGGCAGTATGTGTGACATTAGGATTTGTCAAGACAGCAAGGTACCTGTTCACAGAAAGTCATATGGCACTTTAAAAAGTGGCAGCAGGAATTGGTGCTAGGTATTTGGTCAGTAAATTGCGATAAAGAACTGAGCTTTACTTAGATGGTCAGTCCCCTTTAAATGCGTTCAATTAAACAAGAAAAACAAGAAGGCTGGAAAAGGGCGATGGGCTTCTAACTCCAGACACCTGGTATATTCAGAGGTATCTACTGGGGTCGGAGATGCCCCAGCATAATGGCTGATTAGAAACAGTATTTAGGAGTAGTTAAGAAACAAAAGCAAAACCCCTCACAAGACTATCCTGCCACAAAGTCGTTTTACTGCACAGTATATGAAACTATTGTAGACTAGGACACACCGCTAAATGTGATCTCAAAAGCATACAGGATTGTTAGGTGCTGAATCTACCTCCGTTTTCCCTCAGGGTTTATCCAATTACTAATTAAAACTCCAGAAGGAATTCTAGTAGCACAGTAGGAATTCTTTTCCAAAAAACAATGAGAAATAATCAAAAGTAGTATAGGATTTTTTTTCCCTTTAGATTGGCCTCATGGAATCTTTTGGATCTTAATTCTTTTGGATCTTAACCAAAGAAAAAGTAGTCATTGGAAACAACTTACTTAGAGGATAGATGCAGGGAAAAATATCCAAATTAGAAACACCCCAAAACAAACTCAAATCATGACAGTAGAAAAGGTTAACATTCCAGATAGCTCTGGTTAGAAAGGGTTAAAAGTTCAAAACTTTCTCACCTTAGAGGTTTCCATAGATTATGAAGAAAATACATGGTGAGGTTGCCTTCACAGCACTGATGTGCGGAGTGGTTAAAAAAGTGGGACATGGGCACTTATACAATGTCTTACAAAAAACATCAGAGAAATAACAAACAATAACAATTTCAGGCAACAAGACCACAGGATAGCAAGTTAACAAAGTTTTTAACTTTTTTTTTTTTTTTTTAAATATTAGGGATTTATACAAAACACATAATAAAATACCCATGTTATCAAATTACTTCTCACAAGAAACACACTGAAGCTCTAGGAAGGAAGTACCTTTGGAATTTGGCACTATATATTTTCACTTTTTTTCTTTAAAAGAAAAAACAGATCACATTTTGCTGAACACAAACACATCTAAATAGTTCACAATTAAAAAAAATGACATCAATGCTTCACAAGCCAACACAAAACTTATTCTGGAATAGGTTTTTTTTTTTCCCCCTCACATGAAATTTGTTTTAAGCAAACAACTTTTTTTTTTTTTTAAATTCTTTTTTTTTTTTTGTATTAAGTAAACCAATTCTAAACTTGTCTTATCAACAAAGAACATTAAGACCATAAGACTCATGATGAAACCACAACTTAATTCACAGAAGCACCAACATAACACAGTTTACAGTAACCTTTCTCCTGTACATTGAAACAGTATAAAATATAGGTAATTTCATGTGCATTAAACCATGGATTGTCTAACTGTGAGTTCAGCAAAAGGTGACACAAATAGGTAGCATTTGCCCCAAAACAGGGTAAATATTTTTCTTATACTAATCTACAAAAAGTGGTTCTATATATATATCTTAATGAGAAAGTGAGCCACCTAAAATGGCCTTATCAAAAAACTTTACACTGCCTGAAAAATGTAAAAACTATTACAGACCTCTAGAGACTTAAAATCAGACAGTTTTTTTCTCAAACTGTTTTTGGAAGTAGTCTGTTAGAAACCAACATTCTGTGTCCCTGGACACATATTGCTATTGTTACCAGTGACCGGGAAGAATGCCAATCCCTGTATAATACTTTCAAGTCTGTTTTATGAAAAGAAAAAAAATAATAAGAAAAAAACATTTTTGCCACAGGTTTTTTCTATAATGAATTTGTCTAATAAATTTCAGTCTTGCATGAATGCAGCAATGTTTTTCACATTGACTTCCCAGAATTCATAGCTAGATGAGGTCACATGCAAATTTCAAAGGTCAAACTAGATCAAAGGTCAGTAGGAGAACCAAATATGATGTGAGGTCAGAAAGACATCAGAAACAATGACGGGACGATGAAACTTTTTTTTTGAGACGCCACAGGGACATGCTAGGCAAACGATGAACTAACGGGCATGAAGATGTCTAGGGAAAAAACAAGGAAGAGTAAAAAGTTACACAGAATCTATGCAGCAGCAACAAAATAACTTTTAAGGGTGCAGGAGAAAATCTAATGCAAATCTTCCGTCATTAGGGAGTCTCCGAGCCATTCACATAATTTGCATTTCTTACACTCTTTATCCACAGCACAATGAAACCCCAAGAGAATCCATCTGGAGAGAGTGAGGGGATGGATTCTGGATGTTGTGGGGTGAGGGACAGGGGAGAGGGTCCAGTTTCAACAAATGTGACATACGGGGAAAGTCAGACGACTGAACTGTAAACTAGATAATGGAAGTTACGAACAAAATCATCAGACAGATACAAACAACGAGAAGATAAAGCATGAACTTTAGGTCTAGGGTTCAACGGTGAAAAAAAGCCCATTCCTAGAACAATTCCTCTAGAGACTACTTCAGAAGGTTCTAGCTAGACAGAGAACTGCTCTTTAGGTACCCAATAAGTTAACAATAGGCAATAAATAACTTCCATTATTTCTGAGGCAGTAAAAATTTTGTATAAAAATAGAAATGCTTTTTTTACAAATAAAATTTACAGGCCTGTGGCTTTCTTTTTTATTTATGTATTTATGTATTTATTTATTATTATTAAATTTATCTTTCAAGAAACATCAAGTATTTTCACTCATTTTTATTTTTTAAACCCTGTAGCTTTAAGAAACAGATCTCTAAATCTTTTTGTACATTAATCCTTTCTAAAAACTAAAATAAAATAACAAAGTAGACAACCAGTGTAATAATTTGACCAATAAATGTTATGTTTCTTTGAACCCTAAAATAAAATCCTACTTAGTAAAACAAGCCGATGTAGTGGAAAGACGTGTGGTTGGAGTAAGTGCTTCTCCTGGCTTCTCCCTCTCCTAGGCCACCACGTTAACCTCTAAGTGCCGGGCCCTCCCTCCAGGGGCGGGTGCCGGGCAAGGAGGGGTGAATTCTCCAGGCAGTGCTCTTGGGGCACCAGTGGTTTCAGAGTTAGAATTGCACATTAGCATTTGTTTGCCTTTTAAATTCTCAAGATGCCATTTATTTGTGTATATGCTTCTCTTTAAAAAAGCAAAAACAAAAAAAATTTAAGAAAAAGGTAAAAGGAGATTCAAATTGCAAAACAAAGGAGAATACAGTGGCACAACTGGAGGAGGAATTTACTCAATAGAAACAAGGTAGGCCAAGTTTTAATTATGGCAAACTGGGTAGGGGAAGTGGGTGGGGACATGGAGGCCTTATTGTAAAAATAACCGTCTCTCTTGGTAAAAGTTGGCAATGTGGTCCTCCTCTGCCTTTCCTGTTGAGACAGGCTGGCTCGTGGGACTTACCCTAAGAAAGCTAAAATGAGAGCAGGGAGCCTCTGGGGTTAGGATCAGTAAGGTTTGCTGTCGTTTTTGGAGCGCTTCAGCTGCACCTTCAAGCGTTTCATGCCGATCTGAAAGCCATTCATAGCCTGGATAGCAGCTTGTGCAGAGACTGGATTGTCGTAGCTAACAAAACCTGTAAAACACCGAGGGTGGAAGTCAGGCTGGAGAGGGACCCCAGCAGAAAAGGGAGCCAGGGCTCTGGGGAGGGCTCAAGAGGCAGCATGGGGCGTCAGCCCCACAGGTTTGCCAGTGCTCTGCCCAACTGATTGTGTGTCCACCATGAGTGGACAATGATGCAAGCCCATTGAGCAGCTGGACTGAAAGGTGGTCCGAAGAACACACCCCTCCCCAGAACACTGAAGCGTCAGATGCAATTGTTTGCGGGAATTCAGTTCCATTTACTGAAGTTGCTGAAATCATTGTGTTTCAAGTCTCTTAGCATCTTTCGGTGAGAACCCCAGGTATGTACATGCTACTCAGCTAGTCATACAAGCAGTGTCGTAACTATTTCAGGGCTGCAGGGGATCACATGTCCCAACCAGGTGAGGCCGACAGGCAGGCTCGGGAAGGGCTGGAGAAGAGCAGATCCTGTCAAGCCCCTGCCTCACTCCAGCTCTCCATGGTCTGTCACACAGAGCCCACGCCTGTTTGCCTGGAGGATGGGTCAATTAGCAAGTTAACTCTACCGGTTGGGACCAGGGAGACTAGGGAAGTGCTGGGCCTTTCTCCTTATCTCCCTTTCCATTTCCAAAGCTCCAGTGAATTCAACAGAAAGGAAATTGCTACCTGGCATCTCCCAAAGTCTGGGGGCATAAACAGTCAACGGCTTAGAGTTTAATCATCTGATGAGAATTCCCCATCTCTTACTCTGTAGCAGCTACCTCTACCAAAAACAGCAGGGAGGACATGCTTTTGAAAAAGAACTACTGCTACTCTGCAAAGACCCAGAGACAAGAGGACCTCAGTCTCAGAGTCTGCTCCAGCACTGAGAGGCAGCAGCAGAGGTGCAGCAAGGCTGTGGAGGGTGGTGACAGGAAGCTATTGTCCTCATTTACTTTTAGGTATGAACGTCAGCTGTTCAGAAGGTTCTGTACTAAGCACTTCCATCCATCTGCTATTAAAGATAAAGAAAATTCCTTGACAAACTGGAGGAGGAAGAAAAGGACATGACTTTCTGTACATTCTCAGCTGATAAAAAGGGGAATGCAGCGTAACGCTGGTCAGCTTTTCAGAGGCAGGCCGTACTGCAAAGTGGCTGTTTAAATTTTTATTCAGTCTCATTCCCAGTAAATGGGATCTGAGATTTTTGCTCTGACTTTCCTTTCTCTTGGGGTCTTTATCAAGGAACAGCAAGATAGTTACAGAATGTAAATGGACAAAGGATAACAAAACCTGGCTAAGAACTAGGAAGGAAGGAATGGGGTATTACCTTATGATGGCAACCCTAATTAATTCGGCTGGCTCATCAGGCAGCCTGGATGCTACAGTGATTAACAACAATGGAAACCAGTCCATCATGCTCAAGAATTGTCTGCTGACACTAATAGCTATGGTTTACATTGGCTAATCTGTTTTCAAGGAAGTAAATATTAAATCATGAAGCAGAATGCCCTTCCAAATAAACCCAGAATATTATTTATGAAAAACAGAAGAGGCAGCCTCAAAACTGTCTGGTAGAAGGCCTCTCTGGCCCCACCCCCCAGCCACATGGAAGGAGCTTAACTTCCTTACGTGACTCGGCACAATGCCCCCGACTGAAGGAACTCCAGCCCCTTCCGCCTAGCAACCACCTAACCAATCATCACCTGCCTCTTTAGCTCCCGCCCAGCAAACTTCCTGCCCAAACCCTGACCAATCACCATATGCCCTATCAACCTCCTGCCCACTCAACTTCCCGTTCGGCAAACTCCCCGCCTGGCAACCGGGACTAACCAATCATCACCCGCCGCCACTGCTCTCCCACAGCCCCAAGCCCTCTGCCCCTATAAAACCGACCGAACAAGGAAAGCGCGCGCGATTCCTCCCTTCCCGCTTGAGTCGCCCGGAGATCCCAATAAAGTCGGTACCGGTCACCATGCGTCCTGCCTCGTGTCTACTGGGTGCCTGCCTCCGTGGGTTGGGGTCCCACAACCAGAGGTCGCACAAAAACCTTGTAAACCTTGTGTAGGGAAGCCTCCCTAAAGTAGGCTCATGCTCAAACACACACATCCTATCATGATTTCATTTGCATATCACTCTTTACCGTCACAAAGGGTTTTTATACAGTTGCCACAGCAGCAGCCTAATAATGGGTTCCAGCTGAAAGCTTTGCCACTAGGGTAATGTGACTGTAAGTGGCTGACAGGTGGAGTCCTTTAACGGTGCCTTCAGACCTTCCAGGGTGATAGCAGAAATGAGAAAGATCTTATGATAATAGTTTTAGAAGCCAAAACATTATCTTTGGACTGGTTACCCATTACCAGCCAGAGTTAAGTTTAAGAACCACCCTCCCTTTGCTACTTTCCTTTATGACACTCAATTCTGTGTGTTTCCTCCGGCCCCTACCAAACTTGGTTTTATGCTGTTATTACCTCCCACTGACATGAATTATTAAATTGCAGGAGTGATTAAAGCAAATATTCTAGCTCAAACTGGGCACTGAGCTTGTCAAGTAATATACAGTTGAACAACTTGGCCTCTAAACTGCTTTGGGGGCCAGTAGGGTTTGAATAATGAAACAAGGAATATATTTAAATGCTATTGTCCTGGTGTGAAACATCAGTATGGGAAGTGAACTTCCCTTACTCCCTAAGGGAGTGAAAACCACCACAGGAAGCAGAGTCCAGGATGATTGAGGAAAGGGCATGTGGCAGCTCAGGTAACAGCTGCACGCTCCTGGACTCCATATTTATTCCCACAACCCCTGCCAGTCTCACACTCCCCCACTGTGGCCTTCAGATCCCATCATCATGCAGTGCACTGTGTAACCGTGAGATCCGTCAACCGCTCATCCTGGGAACGTGGATGAGTGGTGTGTTGAGGCTGATGAGTGGGTTTCTGTATGTGAAAGTGTCTGTCAAGGCCAATAAGCCCCTAATATGGTGTTGCCCATAACCATGGTGTCTGAAGTGTACTAAACCTGGAGGGGTAAGGAATTAGTGGGAAAGATGGGCTAAATGTGGTTAGACTCCGTAATAGTATAGTCTAGAACATTACCTAAGGCATGGGCATTGACATTAATTTCCCAGAGCCTTCGTTTGTTTGCCCAAATCTGCTTAAAAGGATCCAGAAAATGAGAGCCCCCCACCACGCGGGGAAGGCCCTATGCTGACTGAAATTGCCAGTCACGTTTTCCTTCCCATGACTGTTCACTTGGGAGCCCAATGCAATAGTCTAGCTTAGTTTCTTTTGCATACCAAAGCACTTGCTCAGATTGGTCTGTTTGTCAATGAAGACTTTAGCAGAGATAACATTTCCAAAAGGCATGAACATCTGCAGAATGTCCTGGTCTCCAAATTCTTGTGGAAGGTGGTAAATAAAGAGGTTTGCCCCCTCTGGACCTAGGGAGGAAAAAAAATCAGAGTAAGATATTCCTTGAGTCTTAGTTTCCAAAGTCTCTTCTTAGGAATACTATAACAACAGGTAGGTTAAGCATTTTGCTTTCTTTCAATACAAAGAACAAAGAGATGAATAAGTGTAAAGTGCTGGAGTGACTTTCAAGAAAGTAATCATCCTTCAGATTTTCTTGATTTCCAAAGACAGGCTGGCTACAAACGGCTTCCTTTTCACAGACAGTCTTCTGTGAGTCACTGGTACTATAGCCCCCTGCCATGCATTTCAGTCACCTCTTGGGTGGCCATATTTTCTCAGGTATAGTCAGGCTCTGAGAAGAAAAAAGGGTGCTCTGTGCATTCTAAGCAAATTGTAAAAATTTAGAATAAATTTGCCTAGTTGTCTAGTCAGTTTTGATTTGCCAAGTCTCTTAACACACAGTCTAATAATCATCTTTATGAGAAATGACTGGCACTGAGTCGACACAAGGAAAGGAGGTAGGCTGAGTCTTGGCAAATACTGAGGCAAGCCAAGCTCTGCCTGCCCACCCTCCTTTCCCAGCAAATACAGGCAGCAAGGACAAGATCTTGGCCCTGCCGGTTGCAGAAGAGGTATGCGCTCCTAAGCTCCCCTCACTTTCCCTCTCTTGACTCTCTCCCACCCATATGAGCACCATTTGAAAGTTAAAAGCAGCACAAAAGGGAAGAAATATGAGCGGAGGGAGATAAGGGCTGGCTGTTTCTTGGGCATTCCAGGCATGGAGTCTTCCAAGGAGGGGCGCTCACAGAACTGGTGAGGTGACTTCTGCAGCAGATCAGGAATCCTCAGCTGGCTTCCACAGGAAAGGAACAGTTCTGCCTGCTGAACTGGACAACCCCAGGGGACAGCTACACTGGGGTCCCTAGATGCGGGAAGGGGGTCTGTGTGTGAGATGAAGAAAACTAAAATGGGGATAAAAAGAACTTTGTAAAAATGTCAAACCAAGCCTCTTCCCCTGCCTCCACAAGATAAATCACAAAAAAGTGTCCTAATGGTTAGGACTTTTCAAAGAAAACTTCTTGGGGCAAACTGTGGAAGCCACAGAGATGGAGTAGTTAGTTCTTTCTCATTTAAAAGTGGGTCTTCATGACTACTGTAACTTTTTATATTGCTTCCAATTTCCATGGACATATCCATATTACAGGCCATGGGAGGGAGTCTGTTTTAAAGGGACATGATTGCAGGGAGGCCTTGGGTCCCCAGATATTTTCTGGTTTTCAAAGAATCAAAATTTAACATGAAAAGATGCAAAACCCAAAACACTGGAAAGGGATGTTCTGAGTGCTGCTGTGTGTGCATCCTTGGCGATGTGTTTGCTGGTCAGATTTGCTGCCCCCAGCTTTCATGTTCCTGCTGCACAAAAGATCCAAATGCACAAATGAGGGTTTCTGGGCCCCAATCTGAACGTGAAGTACATCTCACCTCCTGAAGCCGGGGTGAAAATACAGTTTCAGTGCACATGACAGATGATTGGCTATGCCTGAGTAATCCTAGCTTTCTAGAACGTTGCTCATGCTGAATGGATCTTTGCCCAACAGAGACCGAGGAAACTGAGAGACCACTAAACAAACACAAGTAGGTTTTGTCCTTCTGCTCCTGATACGCCCCCTAGAAAATGTCAGTAGTGTCTCTTGACACAGATCCCCCAATTTTTTCATCATGAAGAAACAGTTTGGTTTTGTATATGCCTCAAGTTTTTAATACTAAAGTGAGAACAAATATTTCATATGGAAAACCTCCCTTGTATGCAACTAAGGTGGCTGAGATGAAGAGGAAAAAACAAAACACATTAAAGAAAAATGAGATTCTACCTGTGTCATCTCTCTTTAGAAGTGGGACACACCTGTTCACAAGTCACCCCTTCATCAGATTTCTCCTGGTGCACGTTTCTGTCACTTGATAGATTCTCTGGTACACTCACTACTGGTCCTGGCTGTTGGGGTGTTCATATTTTGTCTGTCTCATAGGGCACTTGTTCTGGCATAAAGCACTGGAGACGTTTGTAGGAGCAAAGCTTTATGAGGCCACCAGTGTTCCCCTTCCTCATGGGACTAGCCTCCTGCAGGTAGTGGGGAGATGTGGGCCATCAGAGGCTCACTTCCTGTCTGGGGAAAAACACTCCAGGGCACGTGACTAAATCCATCACACTAACTTCTGGGTCTTGTGACCTTGGACAGAACTGTGGACTAGAAAATCTAAACATATATTTAGTACTGGAATTCATTATTAGTTTTTACTCTGCCTGGCATCATTTGCTTTTAAAACTACATTTTAAATATTATGAAGATGTTTAAAATTTCTTGAGCACATATTAACTGGGCGAGAAGGGAATTAGAAGAGAAGGATGAGAAGGTGGGAGATGATTAAAGAAATGCTGTACAAACAAAAAACCTGAAACCATGCTACTGAAAACCCACACCCTTAAATCCAGAGCTGGCAATGGTTATTTTGGCCGATTTTATCTTAATCTCAGAAGGGAAATTACTGCATTAAGCAGTAATCCCTAAAACTCAACACGAGGAAGTTGAGGGCAGTGGGCTCAGGTGAAGCAACTCAAAATATGCTGCTTCAGGGCCCAGACTTTATCCCAAACAGCGATATAGTTTACTGGAAGGCCCTGCTCTACTGGAGAATTGACCACCATTCTCTCAAACCATGGGGGCAACCGGCCCTCTGGCCTCTGTGTGAGGATATCGTCATCCTACAGGATCCTGCTCTCTGCCGTCAGTGACAGCACGATACTCAGACCACAGACAAAAGGAACACACACAGGCCTTTCTTTGGGAAGACAGGTGATGTTTATGATGTAGAGTCTCTTTCACAGGCCTGGGGGAACCACGGTTGTCTGAACACCTGTGCATGTTTCAAAAGCCTACAATAGCCACAGCTAAGAGTAAAGAGAAAGTTATATGAAAAGTAACTTAGCCTTTTATATAGTTTTCATTTTAAAAGTGATCTCCATGTTATTTACACAAAGAAAAAAATCTCTCCCTTCTTTCAAAAGAATACATGAGTATCTGTTAAGCTGTGTTTTCTCAAAACCCACAACTTGTTTTAAGTCAGAATATTCAGATAAAAGCAGTTTACAACTATGGTGAGGATAAAAGAGGGGAAAGAAACTTCAAAAAATCTCCTTTAGTACTTCTCTATTCTAGCTTTTTTTATCCCGTATTTAAGCAAGTCAGAAGAAAATAAGTATCATTTAGCAGAATTTGCTTTAAAGGAGCTTCAAAATTAAGGAAGAATCAAAAGTAAGAATGACCAATGATCCTTATTTGGACTTATGAACCATTTCATAATTAGCTTTAATTTATTCTTAGCATTAAATTCCTGGAGTTTATTTTGCTTTACTGGCAGAGAAGCAAGGTAATCAGTCACTTACTTGCTTTCCCTGAAGACCCCCAATTAAAGACCAAGTCAATCCTAACCATGGATTTTGTCATTCACCTGGAAACCATCGCCTACTGAGAGCCAGCCACATAATCACGGTGTGTGTGGACTCGAAAACCCTGGCAAACACAGGACAGAGAGTGTTTCACCTACCGAAGACTGTGGCCATCCATCCCCTTCCACTAACAAGGAGTTTCTGTCTATGGGAAAGTTGATGGTCTGTGCTGACTTGGGAGAGGGAGGTCCCTGGGAATTTTCTGTAGGCAGCAACTATTAGGTCATTTATGGGAAATTAATAGTTTAAATAACTTAATTATGGGAGGGGGTGAGCAGTCAGAGGATATTTGGGGATTGTAAGAAAGGTGATCAACGTTCCTGGACTTAGAGCTGCAGAGATGCCATAACCCTTCGGAAGATGTAACTGGGGAAAAATTTAAAACCATTTATCTGCAAAGTCAGACTGGTATATAAATACACAATGGACAAGAACGTCATCTAAACAAGATGGATGAAGAATTAAATTAGAAGGTAGCCATAAGATCAAAGGAGAAAGACTGAAATCAATAGTTAGGTTTTTGCTTTTGTTTGAGGGAGAGGGGTCTGTGTTCCCTGATGGGAGTGCAGTGGCTATTCACAGACAGGACCATGGCTCACTGCAGCCGCAGCCCCTGGGCTCAAGCGATCCTCCCCCCTCAACCTCCCAAGTAACTGGGACTGCAGGTACATGCCACCACATCCAGCTTTCAGGTTTTTTTTAAAAAAACATGAGTAATAGAACAACTGCATTCTGTTATGACATGGCTTCAATTTGATACCTGCTAACCGTACTCTGGAGGCCAGTACTGCCTGTTGGGCTGGGCCCTGCAGCCCCTACCTGGAGCCAAGGGTGGCACCTACCTTCCTTCTGGCTGCCAGCAGCACTCTGCTGCTGCAGCAGGCTCTGGCTGTACAGAGTGGGCAGCGCGGCCGCTGCGTACTGCTGAATTCCTGAGTAGGCCTGGGTGAGGGCGTCCATGGTGCCAGCCGTGCCATTCGTCAAGCCTGTGGCGCCAAGTCCTCCATTCAGAGCCGCCATACCTGAGAGCATTTGAGCAACTTTACAAAAAACCCAACAATAGAGAAGAGAAACAGCACTTATTCATTAGTGCTTTCCAAAGGAAGTTAGAGAATCATTTGACACAAGTACAACAGCAAGTACATGCAGCTAGCACACAATTACACTGACAGGAAATTAAAAATGAAACCATGAAGAAAAAAATGATGATAATGGGGAAAAATGACCTAAGCCATGAGAACCCTGACTCTCTAGGCCAGTGATCCAAATGCACTGTGGCACTAGTTAGATGAGACAGCTAAATGCCATGCAGCGTGCTACTGGCAAGTACCATTGTTATCTTTTGGAAATAAAAGCCTTTTGCTTCTCGGAGCCTAGGAGCATGTAAAACACCCTAGGAGCAGAGGCCTGTAACATCTGTACACTGAAATCCATGTACTGGTCTCTTTGAGGAGCTATGGGATGGCTTGCAGGGCTGAGGAGGAAAGGATGAAATAAAATGTTTTTCCCTTAAGCTGCGTGTGAGGAAATGGCAGAGAGGACAAGTTCTGCACTCTTGGACCCAGTGGACCCGGTTCTGGGAGTTCTAGTGTGGGAATACTGGCTTTCTCCACCAGTTCCTGATAACGATGTCAGGAACTAGGGCCTTAGGAATAAGTAGCCTGGGTGATGAAGAACTGAGGCACAGGAAGAAATGTGGGCCCTTCCCACAGTCGCAGAGCTGAAGCTTCTCAGTCAGAATCAGAGTGGTGCTGTTTTCAGCAGCAAACAGTTGTACTCTGTGTGCACACACACATACACCTGAGTGGCAGCTGGGGTTTCAGGCCACTGAAAGAGCTCCGTGTCATGCTTTCCAGTCAGCTGGAGACAGAGCCATGCCTATGGGCTGGATCTTGGCTATCACTTGATGGGAACGGCATGGTGGCCAGTAGACTCGAGTTTCTCCCCGTTACCTGGCTGCTCTTTGGCTCTACTGGGGTTGCTGACTGTCACATTTTCCTTGAATACTGACTCAAAGCAAGCAACACTTCATAGAGTGCTGACTTCCATAAGGAAACGGAAGAAGTGACATCACAATGACCTCTAGATCCCTTTATGATCACAATTTTTAAAGAAAAGATCTGTTTCTGAGAAGATCTTAACAATTGGAGATATGAAAACAGCAAGGATGACTAACTGAAAAACAGGAAAGAAGTCTAATGAGAACGGAGGACAGCGAAGGTAGGCTGCTTGGAAACACCAGGGAATTCAGCAGCAGACTGACCTCCACATGCCTGGCCGCACGACTGCCGTAACAGAGCGGGGGGAATGTTCTGTTTACTCCACTTGTGCTTCTGTTTGGCCAACTTCGCCTCTCCAATTAAAAAGGACACGTGTAAGATATGAATTGGGCCATGGCTTACCAGTGGAGGACTGTCACTGTGCCTCAGCTAGGGTATTCCTGTGCTTCTCAGAACAGACATCAAGCAGGGGGGCGGCAAGGAGTGTGTGAATGGCATGAGGAAGGAGTGACAGCCTCCTGAGTGCAGGCGCAGCCCTGCTGGGTCTGCTTACGTTTTTTACTATGAAGGGGTCTGTTCTCTCTTTTTGTGTCATGTAAGTAAGCGCTTTCCAAAAAGCGTTGACGCAGATTGTTCTAATTGCTCTAAATGATCCCTCAGACACCAGCAAATCACAGTCACCTTCCTGCTACTGTGGCCACCAGGGGCTGGAGAGTCATTTTTCTCTTCCTTCAGTGGTCTTATTTCATCCTCACCTTCCAGTATTTTTGTGATGCAAAGAAACGTCTGTGTTTTCTGCGACAGGTGAGAGGAGTATATATAATAACTTGGGAAGGGCTGGGCACCGCTGATCAATTCTGTTGGTCTCACTTTGGCCAGGATGTCAACAGGGCTGTGGATTACAGATGATCAAGCTCTGGGCATAGCCCTCAGGAAATGTAGATGCCTGTGCAGAGGCAATGCTGGCAGGAGGGGAACGGCAACTTGCCACTCTCCTTGGATCCCAGGGCATGAGGTTCTTCTGGCTGTGCCTCGATGCCAGATGAGCATGGGGTGAAGAGGGCAGCTCTGCTTCGATGGATGCCTCCAAGTTCCCATGGAGGGGTGGGGAGCAGTGCATCACCATGATGGCTTGTCTGCTGAGGGTCAGAGTCTTCAGGCTCTGCCACGTGAGACCCACAGGGGCACCTACCTGTGATATGCAGCCTCCACGACTCGGCTTCTCCAGAGTGCCAGATACACAGGTGGCATTTCATGGCAGTGGCCACTGGGCCCCAACTGCTTTCTCCACACACAGCCATTTTTTAATTGTCCATGTCAGGAAAGCTACCTTCCTACTTTGAACTTTTTCCCCTTTTAGCCAAGAATGTTTTTCTCTTACAACACAGAAGCAGAATGAACTTCCTGCTCTTGAAATACTGGATGGATGTTTGAGGGTATCGTAAGGCTTGCAGTCCAGACAGTGACATTCCAGACACACCCTCCACTCCTGGGTACACTTCACAGAGGCTGGCTGTGTCTCTGGACTACACCTCAGAGGTCACCTGCTTTCTGGAAGGGTCATGCTTATCTCTGCTGGTGCTGTGCATGTAGGAGACAGCTGTGACTGGCCCTGTTTGCCCGGGCAATGGGGGAGGGGCCTGTGCCAGGGACAAAGGGAGGGGCTGGCCACCTCCATGGTATAAATATCCTTGTGAACAAAAAAGTTCTAACAAGTACCAGTGCACGGAGAATATTTTGAACCACAACTAAGAACTTCTGGGAGGGTGGTTCCTAGGTCCAGGGTGGAAAAGCAGCTGAACACATGATAGGATTTGAAGAACCATCAGAGGCGGCCTTCCACTTCTGAGAACAGTTCCTGTGAATCACCTGATGTGCTCTAGATGAAATAATTCTATCACAGAGAGTGTTTGTCAACCCAGCTGCAGCTACCTGATTAGCTCTAAAAGCTCTGGATAACAGAAGCAGAGCTCTAAAGAAAGTTAAGTTGAATAAAATGTTTCCACTTCAAAGAATAGGGCTTTTCCTTGAAATGACCACATGGATTGACCACTTCCTCTCATTTACTGTCATCTCCATCCTCTGCATGCTATTTAGAGAAGGCAGGCTGGAAGCAAGTGACAGGTGTGGCAGTGCACAGCAGGGAGGCCTCTGCACCTGGCCCATCAGTAGGCCGGTATGCAATGTGACTACTGAGTGCCTTCTGCTTAATTACTCTCCAGAGGCCCCCAACTTTCGATAGAGACCCAGGAGCTGGGAGATGACTGAATCTGTTAACATGACACTGAAGGACTAACCCAGAAACATGAGCGTGACTATTTTTTGCACAGCTGGGGGGGTGCTGGTGGGGTGGGGTGGAAAACGAAGGAGATGACACTGAAAAGCAGAATCACAAGCCAAGTGCCATAAGCAGATCACATTTACTGCAAGCTGCCCTGCTAGGTTTTATCCCAAATCAGAAAGAAAAAGGAAGAATATGCTCACAGATTTCTAACCACTTCACTGGTATAAGTTTTCCTTTATACAGATGAGAGATTATCCTTCTAAGCTGCAAGCTGGTAAATGAGAAGTATAAAATGTCTACAATTAGGGTAGATGAAGATCACTACACTGGGTGTCACTTATATACCTGCCTCTGTTATTATGGGCACATGTGTGGGGCTGTGTATAACTTTATGCATATTAGGAATACAGACTAAAACAGTAATTTCACAATGCAAATAGTGCCAAGCCACAAAAATATTCCCAGAGCATCTTCTCTTTCCTGCACTTCACAGAAAATATTTCCATAGACACTTTTCAGCAGGCATCTACAGCTGGTTTTCTTAAAACAATAATAATTTTAGCACTACATGGTAAGCCATTTGGAAGCCATTTGACCTACGCAATAAAACAAGGAAAAATAGAGATGTCACTTGGCATACACTGTAACATAAAAACAGAGACAGACTCTTGAGTCGAAAAAGTATGTTCTTCACCTTAGTTCAGGTATTATTATACAAAACATGCTCAGGGAACCCTGAAAAAATCCAGAGGTGAACACTGATGGTGATTCACATATGTTCCTTCTTTTGATGTTGACAATTCTTATATTTTTAGGGTGCTTTACTGTTTTGTAGCTCTTTACTTCATTAATGTATAAGGGAATTAAAAGGATATCAAACTCAAAACAGTTTAATTTAGCTACTTGTCTACTGGCCAAAAACTTACTTTTCTGGGAGAGGTGTTAGGGCCTCGGGCAGGAAAGAAAGTAAAGCATAGGCTCCAGTGAGCCATCGACTGGCTTTCTTGCTGGCTGCTGTGTCGGTGGGCAAGAGGTGGTTCTATTCAGAAAACCTGAATACTTTCCAGATGGAAACAAATAATGGCTGCTGAGATGGGATTAACAGCAGTGCTGTGGAATCCTCAGTCAACTATTTGAGAAGCTGACTCTGTCCAGATAACCCTGCTTGACAACTTCCTTTGGGAATTATCCAGTGGAACTGGTAGTATAATCATCTTTGTTGAGAAGGAATGGTCTCAAAGAGGATACTCTATCTTGTAAGGTTTGCTCTTGATATTTAGAAACAAGCAGCAAATATTAGCTCTAGGTCAATGCTGAGATTGTAAAACAGCTCTGCATTAGTAACCCTTGCCAAAAACAAGGAATGGATTTTCATTTGTGCCTAGTTTTGGGTTTAATTAAACATTTTCTTGGTTCATACTATCTAGTAGGTGTTACTTGAAACCAGAAATGTTCTTCATTTTCTATCAACTATGCAGACTTATACGAACCCAATGGCAAAGAATTTCAAAAAGCAAAACAATTTAAACCTGTTGTCCTTGCCAGAAGCAAAATGTATGTCACACAAGACCCCACATAAGAACTACTCATGGTTTCTCTGCCATTCAACACAGCCCCGCTCCAGTCCCTGATGAGTACGATGGGAAAATCTCAGCAATGCAGAGCAGAGCAGCATGGACAGGGCAGGACGCAGACGAGAGGACACACACACACCAGTCATGAGCACGTGCTGAGGAGGACAACCATTCCCACTGGCCTGTTACTCTTCAGACCAAGGACAGGCAGGCGGTCAAATCAAAGTCCTTGTTTTAGGGGAACTAGGTCCTGGGGCAAGAGAAGCAGCATGAGGGGATGTGTGCGAGCACAGACGTCCTCAACCTAGGTGAAGGACATGGTCAGAGCGAGGAGCTGTACCGAAAACAGGGGTCAAGGCAGTGAGGTTCCTACTTAGCTGATGGAAAAGTCAAAGCTGGAAGCGGTTCTAATGAATGAAACACTGTGGCTGCCACAGGGCTACCACTTCACGGGCTCCACGCTAATCACAAGCCATCTCATTTGGGAGGTATGGTCAGCTAAAACTTGGTCCATGTCTTTGTATTTCCAGAGCTTCTGAATAAATGGATGTACTACAACCTGAAAATGTCCTACTTCTTTATTCTTTTGAGATGGAGTCTCACTGTCGCCAGGCTGGAGTGCAGTGGTGCAATCTTAGCTCACTGCAGCCTCTACCTCCCGGGTTCAAGCGATTCTCCTGCCTCAGCCTCCAGAGTAGCTGGGACTACAGGTGCGCACCACTATGCCCAGCTACCTTTTGTATTTTTAGTACAGACGGGGTTTCACCATGTTGACCAGGATAGTCTCGATCCCTTGACCTCATGATCTGTCCACCTTAGCCTCTCAAAGTGTTTGGACTACAGGCATGAGCCACCATGCCTGGCCAACATCCTACTTCTAAACATGATCTATCAGGATTATAAAAGTTAATTTTTATTTGGATAAATTTTAGGTTCATTTTTCTACCAAGTCCAGTGCAAGGTATTTTGAGCTTGTATAGTATGAAATTACTGGGATTAATTTGCTTTTAAAAATAATATTGCCTGATCACTCTTATATTGCCTGATCACCCTTATATTAATTTGCTTTTAAAAATTATATTGCCTGATCACCCAAAAATAGTCCACTTACTGAACCATGGTTTAAAATAGGGCAACAACTGTCAAGGACTCATTTATTAAAAATGAGAATGGGCAGATGCTGGGCTGCCTGGGCGGGGAGTGAGGAAGGCTCCTGTATTAGCAGCTCTGTTGGCTGTCATGGATCTTCTGGGCTTGGCTACTCTTGGGCAACCAGGGGGTCTAAAATGGAGGGACAGGGAAATTACCTGTCCCCTCTGTGGCTGAGGATCAGTTTCCCCAGTGTAGGAACCCACACCAAGCATGAACCTAAAACATGACTTATCTTCTGGGCGGCACACTGTTCCCCTCATCAACCGAGAATGACAGGAGCAGGTGGGCCACAGAGAACAGAACCTGGTGTTTGTTGGTGAGTCCATCAGGATGTCTCGGAACCAAGTACAATTTTGTGAGTGATTTGCCTCCAGCCTATTTCAACCTGCCACAGCTAAACGATGTCCCTTTGGATGGTCACTGATGTAGAGTGACCAATGCCTGTGATGCTTAATAAAGTTTCCGATCATGTCACTTCCGGCAGTGGCTCCTCTCCCCTCAGTTTCATTTCCTTCTTTCCAAGGCCTCATTTCGTCCCCTATTTAATTGTCATGAATCTTTGGACTTTGGAGCTGGAGGGAACCTTTAAGAATTATCTGATCCAGAACTTTCCATTCTCAAATGGAGACTCTCAAGCCTACAGAGGGAGCAGCATCTGCCTGAGTTTCCACAGCTGCCAGGCAGCAGAGCTGGGTTCAGGTTTCCAGCCTTCCAGTCCATGAACCTCCCATTATAACACCCTGCCTCACAGGACAGAACTGACTAAAATCAAACCAAACTCCTGGACACCTGAAAATAGCTGCCAGCCACAGAACCCCATGGATGAGCACATGTGCTGTGCTACACACTGAAAAGAATCTGGGGGTGGAGAGTGGTCAGGGAATTTTTGAGGCAAATTGAGCGTAGACAACTTCTGCCCATCAAAGCATGCGCTCCTCCATCCCAAGTTTTAGTTCTCCTCTGGCATATCCTTTTTCGGGTCATTTCTGGCTGACCACGTTCTGTGGAGAATTTGGGGGAAGGCTGTCCACCAGAGCAGCAAATACTCACTGTTGATGGTACCTGCTAGTGCATTAATATTATTCAGTCCAACAGTGGCCCCAGCCAGTCCTTGCAGAGTCCCGAGAGAGGTCAAGGAGTTCATGGCTGCACCAGCAGTGGAGTTTGGGGTCGAAGCAGCCACTGAAAAACAAAAGGAAGACAGGAAAGTGGGGAGAGAAGACGCAAGGTGAGTGAGAGCCAAGAGAACTAGAAATCCTTCTGTCACCATCTCAGTGGACGGAGTTGAGGAACTGTGCTTGTGCCTTTCGTGTGAAGGACATATGGGACTGTACTTGTGACAATTTTGATAGATTTGGTGATTAAAAACATCATCATAGCGTGGTTTTGCCAGTACAACAAACACACACACTCATTGCTGGGTGGTGGGGAAAAATCTGTGAATGGGAGGCCTGTCCAGCCAGGTTTATACATAACAAAGTTGGCAATAATTCTTTGGTTTCATTATTTGATAGTATCTTTTTTTTTTTTTTTCTTAAAGCCTATGTGTGTAAGATGGGCCTTTATTTTTCCTTCTTGTACTGTCTTTAGTTTTGCTATGAAGCTTTTGCTAGCCTCAAAATGACAAGGAAAGTGTTCCTATTTTTCTGTTCTCTGGAATAAACTGTGTAAGACTGAAATTAATTGTCATTTAAGTGTGTGGTAGAACTTGCTAGTAAAATGTTCTGGAATATGTCTTCATGGGAATATTTTGAAATACTGATTACATTTCTCTAATAAATGGGATGATTGAACTTTTTTGTTCTTGAATCAGTTTTATTAGTTGCTCCTTTCTGGAAATTGATATACTATTTTCAAATTGATATATTGTTTTCAACTATATATTGGTATAAAGTTACTCATAATATCTTCAATAAACTTTTGCAATGAAAAACATTTAAACATGTCTCATTCACTTGGTCTACCTGATCTGGAAGTTCCTGGAAGAAGCATGTGAACATCTGCTGTAATTCCAACTCCTCTATGTAAATATGTTTTATTTTTGGAAATGATCCTATCTTCTGGTGAAATAAACCTTTTTGGGACAACCTTTTTGTTTCTAATTTTTCCTTGAAGTGTGTTTTGTATGATGTTTTGTGTATAAAGCACCAGTTTTTTTGGGCTTTTACATTGGATATCTTTTGCCATCTTTTTACTTACTTATGTTTTAGCTACATCTCTAATATACAGAAAGGTTTAAAAACAACACAGCCTGATAACAGTCTTTTAACAGCAGCATTTAGATTTTGTCCTATTTGTTCTGCTAATATTACATTTCTTTCCTCTCCTTTCTTGCTGTGCTTGAGGTTTCTCTTTCAATTCCATCGCCCCCTCTACTACTTTGGAAGTAATGCATAGTATTTCTATTCTTTTGTACATGGCCATAAAACCTTTAAGTCATCCTTAACTTATCAAATCAAAGTTACTTATCTTTGCCCTTTGCCAGAACAATTCAAGGACTTGAGAATACTTTAAGGCAGAAAAGCTCCCTCTGAACCCAGGTGTGGGATATTCATGCAATCATGCATTTTAGTTGTAGCTTGGTTTTCGTTTTTTTATTCAGCACATCATTATTACTCTTTATAGCACATATTTAGATTTGCCCACATATTTACCACTTTTGCTTGTTATTCTTTCTTCTTTCATCTGGGTTATTTATCCTTTAAAGTTATATCAATACTACTTTCTTTTGTGAGGGTTTATTGGTGAAAAAGTCTTTCAGCTTTGGTTTGTGTGAAAATTATGTCTTTATCCTAGTTCATGCAATATTTTTTTCCTGGACTTTTGAGATTGACAGGTTCTTCTTAGAACATTTTACAGCCTTCTGACTTCCATTATTACTGTTGAGATGTCAGATACTGAGGTGTCTGTATTTCTTGGAGGATGGTTTTTCTCTGTTTTAAAGATCTTCTCCTTGTCTTTGGCGTTCTGCATTTATCACTGTGGTGCTTCCAAGTTTAGATTTTTATTTTCCCTGCTTGGAATTCTTCTGGATCCCTCAATATGTGGATTTTTGTTTCTGCCTTTTATCACTTCTCAAAGTTCTTGGTTATTAGCTGCTCTTATATTGACTTTCCCCCATTCTCTCCTTTCCACTAGGAATTTAGTTAGACCTAAGTTAGATCTATTTTGTGTCACTTAACCTGTCATGTTCTGTTCTTCGGTTGGGTGTCATCTCCAAAATCTGTGTTCCAGCTCACCTCATGCTCTTTCAATTGTATCTAATGTTCTGCTAAACTTACATATCCATATTTTACAATTTGATTATATTTTTTCATTTCTAGAATGTTATCCATGTGTGTCATTTTTCATAATCACTTGCTTTTTCATTTGTCAAGTTCTTTTAATATATAAACATATTAACTTCATTTCTGTTGTATGCTAATAATTCTAGTATCTGAGGTCTTCGTAGATGTATATATGGTATCTAATAATGTCCCTGCTATTTCTTACTTTTGGTACTTGGTTTTCTTGTATATTTTGTGGTTTTTTTGGTTGCGAGCTTAACTATTTTTGGACTTTATTTCTAAGGGTAATTTGAGGCCTGGGTTGAAGATGGGTTCTTTTAAGAACGACTTACATTTGATTCTGCAAAGTGCTGGAGAAATCTACAAGCTGGGGATACTTTAACTTCATAGCCTAGGGTTTTTGACCATTCAGATAAAATCAAATTGGGATGTAAACTCATGTGAGGGATGGTTAATTGTTAAGAATTATCAGAGGGAAATGCCCCTGGCGCTGCCTACCACTATGTTTTGAGATAGGCAGTTTTCCTTATAGTTTTCTAAAGGGGAGTACTTCATCTTTACACTGAGAGTTAGCCTTTTGGGGTTTCAGGCTTCTATGGGGAGGTTCTCCTATTAACTACCTCACAAGAGCCTTAGACTTTTTCTATTCCTTATGGTTGGGAAAGCTTTGAGAACAGATACTTGAATTTACTTGGTTCACCAAATATCCTTAAGAGGAATGCCACCTTCATGTTACCTCTTCTCTGAGTTTTCTCTTTCACTTAATCATTGATTTATGAGTATTTTTGCTAATTGACTAGTTATTGATGTCATTAAAAATATTAAAAAAAATTATTATACATTTTAGGATTTTTCCCAGTGGGAGTTTTGGGAAAACCTACACTGCCAGAAATAGAAGTCTCTCCTATGTGGGGTATTTTCCAGAAACTGTATGGGATCTCACTCTACATGTAATAGTCCTTTCCAGATTGCTGTGTCAGTAAGTAGTGTGTTAAAAACTATTCCTAGTATTTGTTTGAATTCTAAGCCAGCAATAAAGGCCCGAACATTTTCACACTATTTTAGGGAAGTACTTCTAAAAGGATATCCATGGGCCCTCTCTCCAGTTAAACAAACAACCACAGCAGATAAAAATGATAAAAACCAACCAATTAAAGTCTCTGGAAATTGTCCTAAGGTATCTACATGAAGAAATATTTTTCTCAAGATTTATCAAATCTCAGCATGAACAGCAAGCATCTGTGGCATGTGAGCTACAACCCACAACCTGCTCCCTTCTCTGGTACAAATACCCTCCTCTGAAGCTCAGCACAAAGGAAACTCTACCCTGTGTGGGTATGGGCAAGAAGATGGGGCACCCCCTTCCCACAGCTCCAAATATACAGGATTATGGTTTCTCCCAGGGAGGAGGAGACCACCAACACTGACAATTCGCAGCTCTCACCCCTGCCAACTCTGTGGCAGAAGCTCTATTCCAGGCCGAGAAGCAGAGAGGTCCCTTCCTCAGCCCAGCCTCTACTCATGGGGTGGAAGCTCTATCCCAGAAATAGCATTCTGAGAGCACTGACTCCCATTCACCCCACCCATCTCACTCACTGGTGGAGGGTTTATGCTGGGAGAGGCAAGCAGAGAAGACCAGTTGCTCCCATGCTCTCACAGTCCCCTTCTTGTAGATGAGAGGTATCATTCATAGAAAAGCAGGCCACTGTCCCTGTACCACCTCCAGTGCAGGGAGAGATAGGACACAAGAACACAGGGCTCTGTAACTTTCCCTAAGGAGAACTAATTTATTTGGAACACAGCATGGGAAAGTTCAAGACTAAGGCACTGTTAGAAACAAGAGAAACTGTTGGTGAGCAGTTAAGAGTAGGCAGTAGCTCCATGATAGCAAAGTAGACCAGCTGAAAGCTTAGCAGAGAGAACAGGGAAAGGGACAGCTAAGAAGAGTCCTCCTGGGGTCAGAGCAGGCCTCAAGGACTGGCTGAAAGAGCATCCCTACAAAAAGGGCCCAACTGCAATCAGAGCAGACTGTGGAGACAATTTATGTTCCAGGGCCAAAAATAATAGCCTTCACTCATCTTCAGTGGTTCGCTCTAACAGCTAGAAGTGGAAACAACAGAGACACAGCAGCCAGAAACTTAACAGAGATCAAGCCAAGAGGCAATGAAAGGGAGCCATCTGGAAGAATTTTGTAATGTAACAAAGGAAAAATAGGAATGTCACTTATAGCCCAAGGATGTGTCCTCTGAGGAGGGACAGAAGAGGCACAATGCAGGGGAAGAGACTTCACTGAATTATTCTTGCTAAATCACTAAGGAAATAAACACAAATGAGAAGCCAGTCAGGAATGGTTATGTGTAGTGAGTGGGTAAGGAGGATTAATTAGTACCCAGAAGTTGCTGTAATAACTACAGTGTCCCATTGTGAACAAAAAACTATGATATATGCAAATGAACAAGAACATGCAATCTGTACACAGAAAAACACAGGAAAAACCAGACAGCAGACAACAGAAGTGATGCCTAAGAGTGCCCAGATGTTCGACTTAGTGGACAAAGACATGAAAGCAGCTATTATAAATATGATAATCTAAAAAACCATGCTTAAAGGATTATAATTACAATGTTTCATCAAATAAAGAATGTCAACAAAGAGGCTGAAATTATTAAAAAAATGGAAATTCTTTTTTGCATTTTACAAAGTAAATTTATTTCCTTCAACATTCGTAAGTCAACACAGTACATGCAAGTAAGTAGGACAGAGGCAATTCTAAGAAAATCACACCGCCTAGCATGTGATAGACATCTGCCAGGCAAATGGCAGCATTCTAAAATTTAACTTTCAGTTGGAAAGTGATGGAAATAAAAATTAAACTAGACAGTTCACCATATAAAA